AGGTCTTTTCCTGCTCCGCGGCCCCTCTAGACTCCCTTTTTCTCTCTCTGTTTCTCACCCTCCCTCCTCCATGTGTCCTCCTCTCTGTTGCTTTCTGTGTCATAGTCTCCTCTCTCTTTCTCCTTGTTCTTCAATCTCCCAAATGTCTCTCTCTCTCTCTCGTTTTCTTTTTTTCCAGCCTCACAATCTTCCTGTCTCTGTAACGCTCTGAGCTGGGGGTTTGTGTAATGGCGTTATTCACAGATCATTGGTCTGTTTGAAGGGACTATCTTGATTGAGCGTCTCCCGGTGCTGGGCCTGGTGACTGTGGGAGTGTATAAAGATGTGGATGTGTCCGCGGAGATAGATGGGCTTAGTAATATGCAGGACATTGCAGAGGCTTGGTCTCAGTATATAACGTTTCATCAAAGGCAACACATGAGTGAGATAAAAGGAAGCTGAAATGATATGCAGCCGGGCTGTAATGCTCAGAGCTTTAGACGTGAAATGGAGGCAGCAAATAACTAGTCAGGAGTATCACAGTCATTCTCATTAGCTGGTTTACCCTCTTCACTTTTAGCCCCTCTCCATCTCACCCTAATGAATGCAAGAACACTGACACAGAACCAAAAAACCGCTCTGAGAAGCGAAAAATACTCACTACTAATTAGTTCAAATTAACCTCAGGACCAATATGTTGGCATGTGCACACACAGAGACACACACACACACACACACACACACACACACACACACACACACACACACACACACACACACACACACACACACACACACACACACACACACACACGCTCAAATTGCGTGAAGCAGAGGAAGCACAGGAAAGCAAATCCGCCGCGAAGACACCATAAAACCAACACTGCAGAAAAGACGGACCATGTCTGTTTTTCTGCATACATGAGCTGAATACGTGCTAATGACATGCAGAGAACATGCGAACACACACACACACACACACACACACACACACACACACACACACACACACACACACACACACACACACACACACACACACACACACACACACACACACACACACACACACGCGTAAATTGTTCATCCCCTTCATGTAAATGCTCATTTCATGCAGCAGTTCTCTTGGTCTAATGATCCGTTTTTAAAGCAGAACCTTTTCGCTCCGGTGCGTTCGCTGGCTCTCTGGACAGCGCGATGGTCCACTGACACACATTCTGCAGTCACACCGACTCAGGCAGAGAGACCGTGACAAACAGCCTGCAGTCTGTTGAGCCCCGAGGATTACTTTTATTCTTTAATATTACAATGCCGTACTGAAGTTGTTTTGTTAGAATAAGCTCCCCTGTATCAAAGTAACAAGAACCCGGTGTTTGTCATTATGTTGAAAACCAATGTTCAGTTATATATATAATAGTTCTAAAGAAAATACTTTATATATTTATGATAATATAATCTACCTGGCTTTTGTTATGATCCTTTTCAAATGTATCTCTAGCCATCATCTGTTATATTATTTAAATGTATTTGCTTAAGATTTTAGGATGATGTACTTGGATTCGCAAGGAAATGAAAAAACTGGGTTGAAGATTTTGAGTTTTACGTGTGCTATCAAGCAGGATTAAGGGTAAATAAACTAGAAGATAAAGCCTTAATTCTTCTTTGTGCTATGCAGGTCATTTACAATCTCTTCATAATTTTACAGGTTGTGTTTATTTATTTTTTAAACCGCTTTGGGGCAGCACAAAAAGCTCTAAACGTAACATCGGGGTCGTGTTTCTGTTCAGCTAGTTGCTAATTTTGTTAGTCTGAGGAGGAAGTGTGTGGATGAATTATCAGGTTTTTTTTACAACCAGCTGATAGGCTAAGGGGCGGGACATCTCTAAGGTGTCGACCAATCACCAGTTTTAGTGCTAATCTTTGAATGTGCCTATTGCTGAAGCTACTTTGCACTACACTTTGCTCAGATCACTATTTGATCAAACCAACTGTGTGACTTTTCTCTTAAAGATTTCCTGCTGATTAAGCTTTTCTCTGCATTGCTGCTAAGGCTGAATGTCAGTTCTTCCTCTAAATATTAATACCAACAAAATACTTTTTCTCTGAAGACACAACAACAGAACCTTGAACAGACCCTTTGCTCATGTCACCTGCATCAGTTTGATATTTTAAAGACTTATTCTGCAGAATAAATGTGGGTAAACTAAGTGGGTTAATCCTGCCTGACATCGATGATACGTCTTCACATCACTGCAGTTTTCCAGGTTACGCCTGAGATTCCCATCAGGTGGACTAACTGTGCCAGTTGACTGTAAGCGGGGAGTATTTCTTGCTCCGAGGCTGATGGAGGGAGTCAACGCTGCTGCGGTCGCCACCACCATCTTACCCCTAGCCAAGGTATCCTAGCAACCGTCACCCTGCTCCATCATTACTTGCGTCAGCAGCGGTCCAACAAACTTCCTTCCCGGATAACTTTATTTATAAACCAGATGGCCGACACATCTCTGGATAACACCTTTTTGCGTCACTGGCCATTTGCATCACTCGAGGAAACGACGCCGTCTACTTATTGGCGACAGCTCGGAGTGTAAACATCCCATAATACTGCCCGCGTTGCATTTGGACACCAGTTTCCTTCCTGAGATAACCAAGAAGCACTTCCTTGTGTTGGGACACGGTTCACCCCGAGGTGGAGTTAAGCATCCTGTCCTGCTGATCATTATGCAACATCTTCTTCTACAAAATCTTCCTAATTGTGAATGATTGTTATGCACAGATATGCTCTAAATTATGCATAGGCCCAGGATATGTACTTTGAAATTGCTATTAGGAAAGTGTTTTTTTATTTCGAAGTGCAGCTGGTGCTTCTTGGAGATTAAGCAAATATCTATATTTAACTTTCCATTAAGTGGAGACAAAAGGAGAGAGCCCACCCGTTGCATTACATCAGAAAGAGGCATCTTTTCACAGCACTTATGAGTCCATTATCTGCTCCCAGAAGAGACACCCGGCTGCATTGTGACAAACCTGTGATTTCCTTCAAATGTTATGCATAACAATAAAGTTCACCTGCTTTGTTGACTTATTTCTCCCACCTTGAGTGCTAATATTAAGATATTAAGAGTTATTATTTTGACATTTTAGAGCCCAAACAAGTCATGGGAAAGAAAACAAATCATTGATTGATATAAACAAATGATAATAAAGGTCGTTATGTGCAGCCATGCTGATAATGAAGCATGTAACAGAAGGATTGAGTGCTGTTAAAAGCACTTGACAAGCGCCTTTTCTCAGCTCTTTTAGCAGTTTGCTACCGCTAATTGGCTCCTTCTGTGGGACTGACGGCTGGTGCTAACGTTTAATCCTCTCTATTTTGGATCACTTTTCATCTCAAATTATTTTCAGCACTTCCTCAAAAGGGCCACAACTCATCGGCTTGAGAGCGGGCCGGGCGGGGACAGCCTCTTTATCTCTGTAACAAACGGGGCCGGCGGCCACATGGCTCGCCTCCAGCACAACTCAGCACCCTGCGACTGTCAGCAGGTACTTAGGCAGCGATGTAATCCCAGGCCGGGTTGCCTCAAAGCCCCCAAAGTCAGGACTTCTGGCCTCCGTTCAGCCTGTTCCATTTAAACCTGCACCGCTGATAGAATCGCATAATATTACATCCTGGCTGGGTGGGTAATCCCCGCAATCAAAACATCATCATCTCAGCTGAATGAACAAAAGGCAGTATGAACACACACAAAAACACACACACACACACACACACACACACACGCACACAGACCACATGTCCACATCTGATTTATCATCTGGGTCAAGTGCTCAGACAACCTATTACAGAACAGCTGACCGCACATATCCAGCTACTCACATCCAAAAACACCGCTGGTGGAAGAAGTACTCAGAGTTTTTACATAAGAAAAAGTAGCTATACTTCATTGTAAAAATCCTGCACTCAAAATTGTGAAAGTACAAATGTATTGGCATCAAAATATACTTCTAGCATCAAATGTAAAATAACTATTTTTACATATTATTATTAATGCGTTAATGTTGTTGTTGCACTTGGCATAGGTGGCGATTATATCAATGAGTTGACATACTGCTGGGTAGCTTAACCTATAATAATACATAATGACTTGCTATTTATATTCTCTTTTATAAATCCATGCCTGCCAAGTAGCTATTAACTACATTTTTTAAATAAATGTAGTGGAGTAAAAACTAAAAATATACTTCCAAAATGTAATAAAGTATAAAGTAGCATAATGTGAAAATACTCAAATGAAGTACAAGTACCTCAAAATTGTACTTAAGTATAATACTTGAGTAAATGTACATAGTTACATTCCGCCACTGAAACACACACACTATTAAAATAACTATTACTACTGCACTTCCAATATTTGGGAGCAGCATATCTGCAGACAGAAGAAAATGTCCACTGCGAATCCACTCAGTCAGAAAAAATAGAAAGTGTTTTTGAAGCAGTGGCTTCTGGGTAGACACACAGAGGTAATTCTGATGCATTTTCTCACTCGTTTCCTGTAGTTTCTCTCCCTGTCTTTCTGAAGCTTTTTCCTCCCCCGAATCTTCACGCCTGTTTCATTTCTTTTCCATTACATTTTGATTGAATATCTAAGCTGTGGCTCAGTGTGGATTGTTACCACTATCGATGGGAGAGACAGAGGGCTGCTGGTGAGGCTGCTTCAGAGTGCTGAGGAAACCAATTTCTCCCTTATCTGATTTCAGATTTTGTTATTTACAGAAAAGCCATGACTCTCAATGAAGGTAAACCACAGACACAAAATAAACTGCAGGTGTAGGGCGGTAGTTCTGTGGGTTCAATTATCGTCTTATGTCAAAGCTGCATGGCAGACTAACACAATCTGAACTTTGAGCAGCTCTCCTCCCTCTGATAAAGCTTCAATGCTGTCTGCACGGTCCATCCAAAGTCCTGCAGGCTGTACAGTACGGTCAAAGTGTATTCAGAGCTATGAGTAGATTGTACCTACAGAGCGAGTGTGTGAATGTGAAAGCATCAGTTCACCAGGATATGAACTACAGGACAGCATGCACCATGTCCTGCTGCTGGGAACACACACACACACACACACACACACACACACACACTCTCTCTCTCTCTCAAACACAGACACACACACACAGACACACACACACACACACACACACACACACACACACACACACACACACACACACACACACACACACACACACACACACACACACACACACACACACACACACACACACACACACCAGACTTTCACAATAAAAGCTCTATTACATTACATGGTGCAATCAACCATGAGGATACAAAATCAGAACAGCAAGAATCCTGCAAGTACATTAGCTTCAATTAAGCCACACCATGTTAATGAACCTTTTTACAGACAAAAGGTTTGGTCAGAACAGGTGGGTTTTGTATACCATGGTAGAAAATGTGTAGACTTTCTGCAGTCCTGATTTCAATGGGAAGCTCAGTCCACCATTTTGGAGGTCAGTAGGTCAGCTCTTTTGACTTACCCACAGCAGGAGCGTCGTACTCGTCCCCCAGCAGTATCTCAGGCGCAGAGTAGGCCAGCGAGCCGCAGGAGGTGTTGAGCGTCTTCCCGGGCTGAAACCTGTTGCTGAAGCCGAAGTCGGTGAGCTTGACGACGCCCAGCTTCTCGAAGAACACCACGTTCTCCGGCTTCAGGTCCCTGTGCACCACGTGCAGCCGGTGACAGTAGGAGATGGCGTGGACAATTTGGGCGAAGTAACACTTAGCCACCTTGGAGAGGAAAGACATGAACGGTAGTTAATTAAAGTAATGTATCTTGGTAATAACAAGACGGGCAACCCTTTAGGTTATTTAGATTCTCTAATCCATCTTAATTACATTATAAGCTTGTGAGATAAATATCAAGAGATACTGGAAATAGTGCTAAACAACAATGACCTTTAGCAATGCAAGTAGACACCTTAAGGCGGTATTTAAACATTTCAAGAAGTACGCATACTAGCTTTATTTCTGAGATATGAACAGTTTGAAACCAGGTTAGCAACAACCCCACAACCACCCTTCTTTTTTCATGTTTTACTCTATGCTATGCTAGCTCTTCTGCCTCTGACTCCGTAATTAACAGACCAATATACCCCTGTGCAAGATGGCAAATAAGCATACTTCCTTAAATGTTTACTTCCTTTAAATTAAAAAACAGGACAACATTTCTCATTTCTCAACAGATTCTCTGGGGAAAACATTGACAAACATCTGACAAAACATGAAAACCTTTGTTTCAACATATTTTATTACAAAACTGACTTTAACTTACTCATTGGCTCTCACCATGTACCAGTGAGCGTGCATACAAACTTAAAGGGACCCTTTTATGCTTTTTGCATTTTCCCTTTTCTATAGTGTGTTATATAGGTTTTGTAAATGGTCGGCAAAGGCTAAAATCCCAGAGTTTCTCTCCCACACACTCCACCTGGGGGGCGGGACATCTCTAAGAGGTTGACCAATCACAACAGAGCCTGCCAGCTAACCAATCAGAGCAGACTGGGCTCTGGTTTTAGACAGAGGGTGAAAAGAGGTGCTGCAGCACAGACAGTATGAGAAAAATAAAGAGCTTTTTGAACATTACAGCATGGAGACATGTCACAGTAGAGACACTACATACAAATATGAACCTGAAAATGAGCATGATAGGGCCCCTTTAATGAAAAGCCACTGTTAACCATGCAGTTTGAGAGCTTTTCAGCCCTTTTCCCTGCTTAACTTGCAATGTCGCAGCTTTCAATGTCACACACTTGCGTCCTGGTGTCGGGAATTGATTCCCTTTAAAGAATCGGTATGCGCGATGCATTGGTGATTTCCTAACTACCTTTGAAGTGTCCTTCCCTGCATTCTAACAAAGTAGTCTTAACTTAAATAAAAAAATACATTTAAATTCTGTTCCCAAGATATGTTTTACTTCAGTGATTCTCATCCATTCAAAGGAGAATGAATATAATCTATTATATATCTACTTTCTCTTGCTTTATGGTAGCACAGAGGGCCCTTCTGCAGGTAGGGTTAACCTTCCTCAGCCAACAGAAAGCCTTAAGTCCTAAATCCCACTCACCTCCTCAGTGAGGCCTCCTTCGTGCTTCATGATGCAGTCGTACATGTCTCCTCCGTCTCCCAGCTCCAGGATGAGGTAAAGCTTGGTTGCCGTGTCGATGACCTCGTAGAGGCGTACCACGTTGGGGTGCTGCACCATCTTCATGCAGCGCACCTCCTGGAAAAGATGTGCCCGCGCCACTGGGTCCAGCTTAGTCTTATCTATCACCTTCACTGCAACCTGGAAGAAAAAGAAAATGAGAAAACTGAACAACTGATAGACATCTGAGCCAATCTACAACTATCACAAGCAGCGATTGCACACTGGACTGACGTGGAGTGCCTTAAACCCTTTTTAAACCCATGCATACAAATACTTTATTCTTAAAAAGACAAGAGGTGATTTATGTCAGACTTGAGCTAATATCTTATTTCAATCTGCAGGCCCTGGGCAGGTACACTTATATATTGTGATTATTTTACATATATATGATCTATTCCTGCACTCTTTTATGGTAAGGCTTGGCGATATGAAGTGGGTAAAAGCAAAACAATTGAAAAGCTGCAAGTCTGTCAAACTGTAACTCATACTTTTAAACCAGGAAAAGAAAAAGCTTACCATATTACAATAGGAAAAAGACAATCTCCCTCTTTTGTGAAATGTATCTTGAAATCCACTCAATATCAATATATTACCTAGCCCAATTATTTCAAACTATTTTACCTTTCTTTGTATTTATCTTTCTATTGCTTCTTTTTTTGTGTTAAGTATATTGTATAATGCATTGTTGAAGGTGCCTGAGACTTTGCATTTCAGATTTCCATTGCCAACAATTACGCTGTAGCTATTGTGCACATGACAATAAAGCATTTGAATCTCTTGAATGATTATCAAACAGTAACATGACAAGTATTTAGGGTTATGTAAGTGCCTTGAGAAGGAAAGACCATGATGTGTCGCTTAAGCATTCATAAAAGCCAAGATCAACACAATATGTTGGCAAATCGCTTCACTCATCACCCTTGAGAGCACACGATACTCGATTCTCAGAAGTGTTATCAGTCACCCTTGTGCTGTTTATAAGGGTGAGGCTACCTTTAGCTATTTAACGCTGAGGAATTTCAATACAAGCATTGCATTTGCATGTGCAGACAAGCCTACCTTTTCCCCTGTGAATACATGTCGGGCCAGTTTCACTACGGCAAAGTGTCCACGGCCCAGCGTCTTATCCAGGTCATACAGCCCGGCGACCTTCCCATCGTGATGACGTTTGAGCCCCGCCATGGACACTGGTGGACAGGGGGGGGGGGGGGGGGGGGGGGTGGTGGCCTTCTGTTGCCTGGTGGTTTCCGGTCAGTTCTCCATTTCTTCAGGTTCAAGTCAGACAGTGAGATCCGTTGGAGGCTCCTAGACGTGGACTTTCAAAGGTAAAGCTTTGACGATCAAAGGTTCTGCTGGATGGGAGCAGCAAAAATTCGGAGTTTTGTCCAGCTCAATTCTTTCCAATCCTTTTGGTATCTGAAGGTGAAAATGATACAACAGAAGAGACAGAGAATGAAAACTCACCCCTCTATATAGAAAATATGACACCAATTAACCTGTAAAATGAACTGAGTCACCGCTTTGGAGGGAATACTGCCGAACCCTCATGAACCTTGGCATGTTAGTGTGTCATGTAGCAATTAAATCAGTTGTTATAATGGAATCCAATACTTCCTATAATCCTATTAGGTGGCTCACCATTAAGAATTCCTATTAATTAAAAATGAAACAAAAATACTACAGCCATGCTTGCAGCTCTTTAGCTCTTTGAGCTAAATGCTAACATGCTACCGTGCTCATACAAGGACATTGTTAACATGCTGATGTAAAGCAGATCAAATGTTCACCATCTACGGTTTTCTGTCAAACATTTATTTATTATCAGAACTATACAAATGTACAGCTGGTGGGCTTGTTTGGCTGGCAGTTGATCACAAACCTTAAGTGTACAACCGAACATATGGCAGAAATCTTTAAATGTACTGATTATTTATTGTTCTATATACTGTAGGTATTGGGAGAACCACTGGTAATGTGTACAATTAAGTTTTTTATAGTGTTGATGAGACATTTTGTTATTATACACTTATCCTATCCCTTACCAGGTGTTAGTTTTGGCAAAGTAAATGACCATAAAAGTAGGGAGTACAATTTGGCCTTCAAATAATCCTTTAAGACATTTTTGATAAATCAGTAGTTATTTAAATGTTCTATTAGTAGACTGTAAAAAGTAAAAACAATCAGTTCTTATAACCAAAAGGAAACATTTGTATATGTTTTGTCCGACCAAAAGTCCAAATATATCCGATAAACAATGATATCAGCGGCGTGTGGCGCAGTGGGTTGTGTGTAGGTTGTGCGTAGGTGCGTTGTGCGTAGGTGTTCGGATCAGGAGGTCACAGGTTCAAACCCCACTGCAGTCAGCATGTCGTTGTGTCCCTGGGCAAGACACTTCACCCCAAATTGCTCCTGTGGGGATTGCCCACAGTCTTGAGTATGGTAAGCTCACTTTGATAAAATGTGTAACATGTAATGTAATAATGTCATGTAATATCAAGCGGGGAAAAGCCAGAAATCCAGTCGACTCAATGGTACCTGGAACCAGCCAAATATGTTATTCTCTCTTGAGTTTTACCATTCCTGAGCGGTCTATAAAAAAAGCAAGTATAGGGGCCTCTTTAAAGTGTTATGTATACATGTTTCTTGCAATCATATTATTTTTAATAAACCTCTAAATATAGTAAAGATGACTTATTTTCTCAACTCTAGCTTATTTATATATTGGCATATCGTTTCCGGTTTCTCTGTGGTCTTGTAGACTTTGATGTGAATGTTGCGTCACGATCAACGTTTCTCATAACCCTGGTGATGTTCTAAAGCATTTAACCACTCATGTCTTTCTGCTTCTATTCATCACCTGGTGTCACTTCTAGTGCAGAATGGCGTCGCTCTACTATCTTCAAGCTGTTAATGAAATGATAATGTCGCTCCCACGGTTCCTTAAGAGGCTCCAATGAAGAGCAGCATGCTGTATCTTCACTAATGCTGAGAAGATCCTACCTGCGTCGCTCAACGTATATCGAATATGTTTATGCACATAAACGATGAGGACCAACCAATCAGATAGACGACTAGCGTGAGTGACGTTATATCACCAAGGAGTGTCCTTCTCACCTGATCACAGAGACAACTGGAACCAATACAAAGGATTAGCCTGGCGAATAAAAACAACTGAATCCTACAACGTTCTTAGCCACACCGAGATATGGATAGGAAAAAAGGAAAAACGTCTCTGCATCTGTGGCTGAGAGGTTGCATGGCGTGCGCTCAATATTGAGAACTTTTGAAGTGTTCTAACTAGCAGCTCTTTTGGTGGTGCTATTCTCAATTATTGTGATTACCTCATGTTTTGTACCTGTTGAGCTTAGATATAAAGAGTGAGTATTTTCTTAATATTTTAGCAATGAGTGATCAATCCATCTGTCTATTGTGGTAAGTCTCTCTCTTCCTCTCACACCGACAGGCACAATTTAGTATTTCCCAAATCTTCTCTATACTTCTGCGTCCTGCACACTGACAATGTGTAAGTGTTGCATGTTAGATAATACTCCCAATGAAATAATATAAATAAACCACACAATATGCCAACACACATCCATACTTAGCTCCCAATACATCGTATTTTATTCGCAAATCTCGATTACGAAAAACGTTTTAATAATCGTGATATCATTATTGACCCAAATAATCGGATTATGATTTTTGCCATAATCGAGCACTCCTCTAACAACTGCGTCAAACACGGGATCTACTCGTCTAAATCTAGACATCTTTAATCACCTGAAGAGTGATTGAGGGTTGTGTGTGTGTGTGTGTGTGTGTGTGTATCACTTCCATCGGATTAAAGCATGTGCGATGATGACATTACAACGATGAGAAAATGCATAGTGACCTTAAAAAACCACCCAACCTCTCCATCATGAAAGGTGCAGCACAGCAGTTCGTAGATTCAGTGTGTGTATCTCAGTCCAGTTGTGGAACATATACAAAGGTGCTGCGAATAAGTTTAGTTGATGTTACAATGAGTAGTACACATTAACCAAAGACCTAATAATTGAGGTCAAGGACCTGTTATTGAGCTGCTCTGTCGGAATAACATGGTTCCTTGACATCATATTTGTTTGTGTTTGTGTACTACCTTGTAAATCACAAACTTCAGCACTCTTGTATGTTACACAACTGACTGAATACCACACACTGATACACTGCTGTGCTGCACTTTCATGTCGGAGAGGTTGGGGTGTTTTTTTTATGTTCCTTGCATTTCTCATCTTTGTAATGTCATCATCACCTGCTTAATCGATCAAGTGATTACACACACACACACACACACCCAACACACCCTCAATCACTCTTCAGGTGATTTAAGATGTCTAGATTTAGACGAGTAGATTCCCCGGTTTGTGGACGGCTTTGTTAGGGGTGCTCTTTATTGGCAAAATCATAATCTCGGATTATCTTGGGTCAATAAATTGATCCTCACATTGTTAAATACGTTTTTGTAATCGAGATGCGTAATTAAATACGCGATTAAATGTTGAGCCAGACTACTGTAGTATAGCGTGCTGTGACATGTGTGTTTGGTTATATTTTTATGTTCAATGGTCTCTAGGTTTTTTGACATTAACATTTACACATTGTCAGTGTCATAGGCAGAGTTTGTAGAAAGAATTGAGATTACTTTGTGCCTGTGTGTGTGATGAGTAGTGATGTCTAAGACTTTTTGCCTCTGATGACATGATGGTGTTGTTCAGCTACTTCTCTTATAAGACAATGACACTTTTTCTCACATCGTTCCATTAACGCTGAGGATCACATATTAAACCCCCCAAAGAAGCTTTTAGGCTTTCCGTTTTCATGTTGGAGCAGCCAATAATTGCCAGTGGATCAGACGTTTTTTTTTTCATCCGGTTGACTGTTAGGCATGTTTGCAGGCAACCTGTTGTTTGGTTTCCAGTTGATCTCTGTGAATCCAGGTGAAGAACTCTTGGTGAGGTATCCCTCCCAGGAATGTTCTTCACTTGTTACATTTCGTCTTGGCACGCAGGGTGTAGAGGGGGTAGAAGATGAGATGCTATGCTGCCCCGGGGGATTCTTTCATAATTAAGGGTTGTGAAGCATCGGCACTGAATGGGACAGCCCTGGTGTGATCAACAAAGAACAGAAGGGTTAGAAGTTAGAACAATAGACTGGGTTAGACGTTACGTGACGACATTACAACAATCTAAATACACAGAGAACCGGAGAACGATGATGCAATATATAAACTAGAGTGAGAAAATAGTCATTGATAAATACTTTAAAAATAATATGATCGAAACATGATTATCACTTAAAGAGGCCCTATTATTCTTTTTATGTAGGACGCCGCTTTAGGAATGTATCAAAGAAGAGAACCCGGTATACAATTTGCTGGTTCCAGGTGTATTGGAGGTCGAGTCGCTGGATTTTCTGACCTTTTCTCGCCTCAGCTTGATTATTACATACATTATTACTTACATGTTACACACTTTACCAAGAGTGACTTACATCACTCAAGTACTGGTGTTGCTCTCTGGGCAATCCCCACAGGAGCAATTTGGGGTGAAGTGTCTTGCCCAGGGACACAACGACATGCTGACTGCAGTGGGGTTTGAACCTGTGACCTCCTGATCCGAACACCTACGCACAACGCACCTACGCACAACCTACACACAACCCACTGCGCCACACGCCGCTGATATCATTGTTTATCGGATATATTTGGACTTTTGGTCGGACAAAACATATACAAATGTTTCCTTTTGGTTATAAGAACTGATTGTTTTTACTTTTTACAGTCTACTAATAGAACATTTAAATAACTACTGATTTATCAAAAATGTCTTAAAGGATTATTTGAAGGCCAAATTGTACTCCCTACTTTTATGGTCATTTACTTTGCCAAAACTAACACCTGGTAAGGGATAGGATAAGTGTATAATAACAAAATGTCTCATCAACACTATAAAAAACTTAATTGTACACATTACCAGTGGTTCTCCCAATACCTACAGTATATAGAACAATAAATAATCAGTACATTTAAAGATTTCTGCCATATGTTCGGTTGTACACTTAAGGTTTGTGATCAACTGCCAGCCAAACAAGCCCACCAGCTGTACATTTGTATAGTTCTGATAATAAATAAATGTTTGACAGAAAACCGTAGATGGTGAACATTTGATCTGCTTTACATCAGCATGTTAACAATGTCCTTGTATGAGCACGGTAGCATGTTAGCATTTAGCTCAAAGAGCTAAAGAGCTGCAAGCATGGCTGTAGTATTTTTGTTTCATTTTTAATTAATAGGAATTCTTAATGGTGAGCCACCTAATAGGATTATAGGAAGTATTGGATTCCATTATAACAACTGATTTAATTGCTACATGA